GAAGGTCAAAATGAGAAGATTTTCATATTTTACAAACAGAATATCTAGAATGATTGGCTAATTAGGGCAACGTTTAGAGCTGAAACAGGGGCCAGGACCTGAAGTTACCATTGCATTGAAAATAAGATGATTGTCTATGAATTCAAATCAGAACAAGTCAACTCAAAAGTTGATTTGTCAGGAAGAAAATAGCATAATCTTGGTTCAAGTATTTAAAACTCTGAAGACTAAGGAATGAATTGGACATGGCATGATAATTTTATTTAGGTTGTAAAATGTCAAGGCAAGTCTGTCCCCTTAAGTGTTCTTTGTGTCATTCTCTAGCTGCTAATTTTCCTCATTAAAATCATCACTGTGATTATGGATCTGCATTTCTCTGAGATTCTAAATTTTGGTTACTTGACCCGTGTTGACTAAGATATTTGGAAACGGAAGCTACCGCTTTTAAAAGTAAGCTGTAATTTTATGCATTTTGTGACTTGCACATCTAACCTTATTCTAATTTTGAATGCACTGCAATGTGTTTATTGCTATCAAGCTAACATGTAGTCTCATTTTAAAATTTTTCCTACTTAAAATGAGGTGAAAGAGAATTAAAACACCAAAAACAGAACAGGTAGACCAATGCAATCAAATTGAAAACCCTGAGATTAATCCACAAACCTATGAACACCTAATTTTTGACAAAGAAGCTAAAATTATACAATGCAAAAAAGACAGCATCTTCAACAAATTGTGCTGGCATAACTGGATATTGGCATGTAGAAGACTGCAGATAGATCCATGTCTATCGTCATGCACAAAACTTAAGTCTAAATGGATCAAAGACCTCAACATAAATGTAGCCACACTAAACCTTTTAGAAGAGAAAGTTGGAGGTACTCTTGAAAAAATTGGTACAGGAGACCGCTTCCTGAACATAACACCAGTAGCAGTAGCACAAACACTGAAATCAACAATTAATAAATGGTACCTCCTGAAACGGAGAAGTTTCTTTCTGTAAGGCAAAGGACACAGTCAGCAAGACAAAAAGGCAACACACATATTGGGAAAAGATATTCACTAACCCCACATCAAACAGAGGGCTGATCTCCAAAATTTACAAAGAACTCAAGAAGCAAGTCTCCAAAGCACCAAAGGATTCAGTTAAAAAGTTGGGGACTGAACTAAACAGAGAATTCTCAATAGAGGAGTATAAAATGGCTGAGAGACACTTAAGAAAGTGCTCAAATTCCTTAGCCATTAGGGAAATGCAAATCAAAACAACTCTGAGATATCATCTTATTCCTGTCAGAATTGCTAAAATCCAAAACACCAATGACAATATATGCTGGAGAGGATGTAGAGAAATGGGAACACCTCGTCCATTGCTGGTGGGAGTATTACCTTGTATAGCCACTTTGGAAATCAGTATGGAGATTCCTCAGGAAAATAGGACTCAGTCGACCATAAGACCCAGTAATTCTACTCTTAGGCATATAGGCAAAAGATGCCTATTCACACAAAAAGGATCTCTGTTCCACTATGTTCATAGCAGCATTATATGTAATAGCTAGATTCTGGAAGTAACCTAGATGCCCCACAACTGAAGAGTGGATATAAGAAAATGGGATACATTTACATAATGGAGTACTACTTAGTGGAAAAAAATCAATGGAATCTTGAAATTTGCAGGCAAATGGATGCCACTAGAAGAAATCATCCTGAGTGAGGTAACCCAGTCACAAAAAGACAAACATGTTATGTGCTCACTCATATATGGATTTTAGATATGGATCAAGGGAGTGTCAGCCTACAATCCCGGTGCCAGTGAGTCTGGGAAACAGGGAGGTTCCCAAGGAGATGCATGATACCCTAGAGAATTGGAATGAGCCAAGATCTCCTGAGCAGATCGGGGGAGGGGAGGGAGAACCAGGAAAAAGAGAGGGGGAAAAGAGGAGGGTAGAAGAAGACATGGGGGAGCAGGAATGTTGAGTCGAGGTAAGAATAGAGGAGATCAGGATGAGAGATACCATAATAAATGGAGTCATTATAGGCTTGAGGAGAGAGCTGACACTAGTGAGATCTCTAGAGATCTACAAGAATAACACCAACTGGCAAACTAAGCAATAGTGGAGAGACTACATTAATAACCTCTCTTTAAAACCTTCATCCAGTGATGATGGAAGCACAGACAGATACCCACAGCTAAACACGGAACTGAACTCCTGGGACCCAGTGACAGAGATGGAGGAGTGATGAGCAAAGGGGTCAAGACAGTGCTGGTGAAACCCACAGAAACAGCTGACTGGACAAGCGGGGGCTCTTGAATCCCAGACTGATGGCTGAGAGGCCAACAGGGGACTGATCCAGACTCCATGAATGTAGTCTCATTGAGGAGGCCTCAGAAATGTCTGAGGCCTTGAGTAGTAGATCAGTGTTTACCATGGCGTATGAATTAACTTTGGGAGCCCATTCCAAATAGAGGGATGCTCTATCAGCCTGGACACATGGGGAAGTGCCTAGGTCCTGCCCTGGATGAAATGACAGACTCTGGAGATCCCCCCATGAGGGCCTCACCCTCCCTGGGGAATGATGTGGGGGTTGGGCTGGGGGATTGTTGGAGGGACAAGGGAGGAGGGGTGGCAGAGGGAGCTGGGATTGACATGTGAAGCATTCATGTTTCTAATTTAAATAAAAACATATTGAGGAAGAAATAAAAAACAATTTAAGGCCAACCTAAAGCTACATATGTCTGCCTGAAATATGCCTACTATTCTGTGTTAGACCATTTTCAACAGCCTGGCCATCACTGAAGGACCTTGGTATGCATAAAATAATCCATGCTATATAAGAGAAATACCATTGACTTGAAGTATACTGTGTAATCCTTGAAGGTTGCCTGAAAAATTTATCACTGATCATTCCAAATTCTATTCAAAATTGTTACTAGGTGGATAACTTACTTACTCTTTTAACAAAACAAAGAATGTTTATAGAGATAGTCATAAAAATAATCAACAGAAGGGTGTTTGTTACTACTTTCAGAGTTTTATTATAACATATCAAGCATATAACTCAGGGATCTCCAGATGAACAGAAATGTATATCTATCTATGTGTGTGTCTGTATTTGTGCTTATGTACACATGGATTGATTCTTGATAATTGGTCTCATGGTTATAGGACTCTGGGGTGTGGGAAGTTATAAGATCTGTGATCTGCAATCTGGAGGTCCAGGAAAATCAGAGTCTAATTCAGGTTGAAGGTCTATATGCCAGAAGTTTCTATGGTGTGAACCTGAGTCTAAGAGCAAGGGAGACTGAGGTCCAAGGTCAAGAGAAAGCATTTGACTTTTCACTGTCTCTCTGTGTTATCCAGGTCACTGTTTCTCAGTGGATTGTATGGTGCTTACAGGCAGTGGGAAAGGGCAATTTCCTTAATGAGTCCAGCATTCAAATGCTAATCTCTGATGAAAATGACACATATACATATCTAGAATTAATATTAAGTATACCTTTGAGTATCCATGACCCAGTGAAGTTGACATTTAAAATTAACAGTCACAAAATTTGGGAAAGAATTTTACCAAAGCCTATTTTCAATTATATTTTGGACTTCTTCCCAAGATATATACAAGGACATCAGTAAGTAAACAAAGAAAAATAATCAACTTCATTACATCAGAGAACAGAAATGTGTAAACTAGATTTTCTTAGTCACCAAATGAGGACTGATGCTCTGTGGTTTATGCACAGCCTGTAGGACTAAATTCCAGAAAAAAATAAGGAAGCTGTCGTCTTCCTCATTTATATGTTCATCCATAACACATATGGGCACCTTCCAGCACCAAAACAAAACCCACTAAAGAATAACAGTGAGTGATATGCTGTTAAATACATTATAACTTTGAAGAAATGAATATGAATTACCAGAGAGTTTACTATTATTATAATATCAGTTCATGTAGTTATATTTCAGATTTTATCATAATGCAACTATGTCTTGAAACTGGGCTAAATACTAATTAAACTTCTTAATTTTTATAATTTTATGGTTTTTATCCAAATAGCTATAAAGATGTTTACACACACACACACATACACACACACACACACACACACACACACACACACACACAATGAAGATGGGATGAGAGCCATGTAGTTCATAAATAACCATCTGCCAAATACACGTCATCTAGGATACTTGAGCATCACTCTGTGAAAATAAACCTGTGAAGGTTTTCTACATTCTACCACCAGTCTTTAAAAACATACATACAAGCAGGGCATTATAGGGCATTATAAATTTGATAAGTTATTTAAATATTTTATCATTTGTTTTATATTCTGAAACTGAGATGATTTCCTTTTCTTTTGAGGAAAATTTTAATAATAAAAGTTACCATATATATATATATCACCATATCACCAGTTTTATACATGGCTTAGTGCGGTCATTTGAAAATTTAGTTTCATGGCTGACCTATATTTACCTTCTACATATGTTATGATTAACACAGAAAGGTCTGAAACTATTTGAGAAAGGAGATAACTAACTGTGATGGTTAATTTCAATTATAAACTTTATAGATACAGAATAACCTGGGGATACACCTCTGGGCAGGTTTGTGATCAATTGTCTTGATCAAATTAAATGAGATGGGAAGACCTGCCGCCCATGGTTGGTACCATTCCCTAAGCTAAGATCCAGGACTGAATGAAAGGATGAAAGTGAGATGAACACTAGCATCCATCATTCTCGACTTCTTATTTATAGACAAAATATAACTAACTGCCTTCAGTTCCTGCTGTCATGATGTCCCTACACTGAGTGATTGTACCTTGCAACTCTGATCCAAAATAAACCCTTTCCTGCTTCAAGTCATTTTGTCAAGATATTTTACCACAGCAATTGGAAAAGTAACTAAGACACTAGCCTACCCTGAGTACCAAATATGGGCCAACAATAGTGCTTACTCGGCTTACGCCATCCCTTTCATCCTCTCCGGGATATTACCTTGCTCCTCTTTCATAATGAAGAAACTGAGTCTCCAGGAAGTAAAATAAAGGGCTGAGTGAAGTTGTTTGTAGAATGAGACTTGAGTCATAGTTCATGCTCATGCCAAAACTGTAAGAAAAAGAACCAGTTTCAGTTCAAACACTCCAAAGTCCCTCCTAGAAAATAAGTGAAGAGATTTACACTGATTATGCACGGCCCTTCAAACTGTGAATGTTGAAACCTAAGGCCCTTAGTCAAGGTACTAGAAATAAAACCTTGGTGGTGGTAAGCTCATCATGATAGTGGGCTGAGGGTCTCTTTGAGGCAGATCTGAGAAGGATTGTCCTGAAGATCAAGAGACTCTACAGGAAGTCAGACAATAAAGAAAGCACTTACCAGGTAACAGACTTGTGCTTGTTGTGATCTCAGTTTCCTCAGCCTTTAGAGCTGAGAAAGAGAGAGAGAGAGAGACACAGAGAGAGCGACAGAGAGAGAGACAGAGAGAGAGAGAGACAGACAGAGAGAGAGGGAGAGAGACAGAGAGACAGAGAGACAGAGAGAGATAGAGAGAGACAGAGACAGAGAAAGAGAGAGAGAGAGAAAGAGAGAGAGAGAAAGAGAGAGAGAGGGAGAGAGACAGAGAGAGAGAGAAAGAGAGAGAGAGGGAGAGAGACAGAGAGAGAGAGAGAGAGAAAGAGAGAGAGGGAGAGAGACAGAGAGAGAGAGAGAGAAAGAGAGAGAAAGAGAGAGAGGGAGAGAGACAGAGAGAGAGAGAGAGAGAGAGAGAGAGAGAGAGAGAGAGAGAGAGAGAGAGAGAGAGAGAGAGAGAGAGAGAGAGAAAAGGAAGAGGCTGTTTTGAAGCCACTTGTCTATGGCTTCTCTTGTAACCACCCACACTGACTAAAACAGCTGCCCTAAGAAAAAGAACACCTTTTTTTTTCTCTTTCTGGAATCACATTTGTGAAAAAAACATAACAAAAAAACACTCTTAACAGGAGAAGCCAACAGAAGAGAATTTGAATTGCATTCTTAGAGAAATATGGATTTAAAAAATGCCTACTCTTTGTAAAGACCGTGCTTATAAAACCCCAAACATCCTAATGCACATAGCAATGGCAATAAATCCACAAATCAGAGAATTGGTCAATAGGAAAGCTGGAGGCCCAGCGTTTACTTAAAATCATTCGCATAAGTCAACAATCTATGTCCTGTGAGAACTCAGGGCCTTCTGCATAAGGGAAAGGCAATTTATAAGCCTTCCCCCATCTCTAAATCTGTAAAAGACCTTGATTAAGTGTGAGTAAATGGAACTCAGACCGCTAATGAAATATAAACAAAGGGGCTATTTTTGTTCTGTTTTAGGTAGGTGTGGTGGGACTGACAAGCTCAAATCCCACCCAGAATCCCCACTCTCTCCTTGTGGAGGACTCCAGAAATGAAAAGATGGCTTTGTTGACGAGTCAATCTCTCCTGCTTTCCTTAGAGATTGGTACAGAAGGAAATGAGAGATGGTATGTAAACACTTAGTTTCCTGTGAGTTTTTAGGCCAGGAGTTAATGCATTTCCAACTTTTAAATAGACTTGCTTTCCATATTTCTAATGTTGTACATTGCAGTGCCTATAAAAATCCCATCTCTTTGGCTCCCTGTCTCCCTCGCATTACCTGCCTCTAGTATATTTTAACTCCATACATGATTTAAGGAACATTTCTCCTCAACACAATTTTCTGTCTAGGGAGTTTTGTCATGTGCCTTGGGAGTCACATTTATTCCACAAAAGTAACTGAGGGGGAGTGGAGATAACCATAGATTTTTTTCTTCTTCATTCCATGCTCAAGGTTTTGAATAATAATGAGATATTGCTCAGTTGGTTTTAATAATAATACATAAGAATAGTCCATGCCCAACTACAAAATTCAGAACTATCTTTGATTTTTAATGTATTGAAAGAAATTTTTATGTAAATCGACTATTTTGCTATTTTTTATTTCACAATTCTAATTTTCCTGGTTTCAGAGTATTAATTGAAACCATTCACTCTTGTAACAAATAAAAATTAGAAAAGGGCAAAAAAAGACTGTGAAGTGTGCCTAGAGTTTGAAAGTCAATACCCCCTTCCTCTGTATGTTTCAGAAATTGCTGATTCCCATAATAAATTTAGTTTTTTGTATAGTCATCCACAAAGATTAAAACTGAAAAAAATAAAGTGCAGTTAGGCAACCTTTCTATTGTGTTAATAACTTGGTGAAAACTACCACAAAACAAGGGCTTAGCCTTTAATGCACTGATTGTGAGATCTTTTTATTTTCTCTTTGAAAGCTATCATAGTCAAGATTGAGGCTGAACATATTTTCCTGACAGGAAAATTGAGGATGTGGAGAACAGCCACGTTTTCCCCTCAGTTCTTAAAAGATCATTTTATCTCAGAAATCATTTACTTTGTATTCAAGTACAATGTTAATGGCTTAGAGTTTCTGAGATTAAGAATGGTTAGAAAAAATATTATTCCCAGCTCTTGGATCTGTGTGTCAAGGGAAACAGCGAAATAAATTTCCCTAAAATAAGCAAATGTGCTTTTATCTTTTCTCCATATGCCTTCTCTCGTAACATTTGCTTTAGACTCAAGAATGTTGTGTCACCAAATTGCTTACATCTTAAAATTCTGCAATAGTCTCTTTGGATCCACATACACTGTGAACTGTAAAATGTTTATTTATCATATTTCACTACGGCTTAAGAATTAACATGGACCAGTCTGCTGGACAAGGAGGCATATGTGTCAGTCGTGAACCTTTCCTCTTTTGCACCAACATTCATGGCCTGATGAGGCCTTCAACCACATGATTTTAACTGTCATTTATATGATGACAATTCTTAATTTAGTAATTCCATCTCAGATATTTCTCTTGGTCCCAGGCTCATACATCAAGCTGTATACATGCTCATGTTACTTGCAGAATATAAAAAATTAAGGGCTCTTAGCCAGGCAGGAATATATATATATATATATATTCCATGATTCTCTCTCTAGAACTTGAGACCATTACAGGTTTTATAAGTTTATGAAAAGGCATACCTGAAATTTGACACCAAGATAACATATGAGAATTTTAAGCAACAGCGTTATACTGTGAATGCAGAAAGAGTAAAATGACCTAGGGCAAAATTTTCTAACTTTGTAAGGGTAAGAACATGATGTACAACAAGTAGCATGTAGGCTGAGGTGCAACATAAGTACACAGATTACACTGAACCCATGTGGTTATTATCCAGTAGCTACTTAGCAAGCATTCCAAACCCATGGTAGTGCTGTACTTTCCAAATCACAAATGTTACAAAGAATCTGAAGGTTGTGAAAAACTGGGTAACACCCTGATGTTCATGTAGAGTCTATTCATCACGTACAACTCAATGAGCAGTGGTCCATGTGAAGGAAAGCCTTGCATGTTTAATCTAAAAACCCAAAACTCTCCTTTTCCCAGTTTCATTTGCACTGAAGACAGGACACAGTTCATCTGTATCTTAAATCCAACAATGTTGAATGATAGTCAAATTCTCATTGTATTTTTGTCTATGATTCTATGTATTTATCTAAAACAAATTAACAAATATACATAACTGGAAAAAGGAAGAAGGGGAGAGTGTGGTTTGGTGATTAGTATATCAGAGACTAATGTTTAAAGTTTTCTTATAATCACCAGGAAAATAAAGTAAACTCAAGGCATTGTTTATTAAGATTTACTTTCCATCATGTTCAGTTCAACTTGGTAGTATAGGCACCTAGATCTTTCCTCACCTATTAATATATCCTAAATTATTTTCTTTTCTAACTATAGTGGATAACAGCTCAGAAACAAAACCTTAATGATGAACTTACTTCTTTTAAACATTATTGTTCTGTAAAACCATTACCTGTGGTCTTAGAGACAATTACTATAAAGTAGGCCTCTTATATATGATGGCTAAGATCAACTGGGTTTTCTAATTTTCTGGTGCCATACTTTGAATCAAAATATTTTGTGTGTTAAAACCTTTGTCCTCAGCCAGGCGGTGGTGGTGCACGCCTTTAATCCCAACACTCAGGAGGCAGAGGCAGGCAGATCTCTGTGAGTTCGAGGCCGGGCTGGACCGATAGCCTCCAAAACAATACAGAGAAACCCTGTCTCGTAAAAACCAAAAAAAAAAAAATCTTTGTCCTCAGATTGTTACTATTGTGAAGGAGTAGAGGTAAGCACTGATGGAAGATATTTTGTGTACTGGGGATATAGGACAGTGGGACCTCAACAACCCTTCAACTTTTTCACATGCTGGCCCATTGGGTGAATGGCTTTGGTCTCCCACTGCTTCTGTCATGATGGGCTGAGATTTTTCAAGCCCAGAATCACAGGGCCCAATTCAGAATCACAGGGCCAATTCATGCTGTGCTAAAATCTCTAAAACTGTGAGAAGAAACAAATCATTCCTTTGTATAAGGTGATTGCTGCAGGTATTTTAGTGCAAAGGTAGGAAACTGACTGACACACTTGCTATGCAGAGATTGAGTATGGTAGGGCATGCAGGTCTAATTGCATGGGATTCAGTAAACCTCTTGAGAGAACCTCTGTCCTGGCTGCCATTTCTCTCCTAACCTTTTGGAGCCTTATGATTAATAGAACCCATCTCAAGATTGAAATAGTCCTAAGTAAATTCAGTGAGCAATAAAAGACACCAATCTTCATAGCTCTTTCTCATAACAAAACTTAATAGAAAATGACTGAGTGCCTTGAATTGTTGACCCAAGCTCTACATCTGGGCCTAGTAATCATAGGGAATTGCTGAGGCCCTTAACCCAGCCATTTGATAATATGGACATACTTTGTCATTACTGTCAGTGCATATAAATTTTAAATAAATATCACAATAAAGAAGCAATGGCATAAGAGGAAGGCATTGTGACATAATCAAGAATCAGAGCCTAATCCTTAAGATATATAGCTACTGCATCAGAGTCATGGCATAAAAGCATAGTCCTTGCCACCATCCACAGCAACATTTGGTGGCTTATCACCCTTATTTCTCATTGGTTCTAGTTAGTTATCACTTGGTGCCATCCTTTGGTGATCTCCTTTTCATCAGTCAGAGTTGTTTGGATATGATGTACTTTTTTATATATTGAGAATCTTCTGTTCTAAATTATCAGTTGCTGGTGGAAGTTAGTAGCACTGAGTTCCCAGGTACAGCTTCTAATTCCTGCTTAAGGTGAACTCTACTCAACACTGAATTACATGCACATTTATCCAGGAGAAAGACATTGACTTGGTTAAAAACATAACCTATAATCTCAGTATGACTGGATAGTGTAGAAAAAAGCCTTCCTGCCAGCTGCCTGGGCCCTGACACATTGTCTGAACCCCCAAATAACTCACCGGACTCTGTATTAATTATGAAGCTATTAGCCATTTGCTTGGTTTCTTACTGGCAATTTCTGAATTAAGTATTTACTCCATAATTGTTAATCTAACTATTTCTCTTATTGGAGAAAGAGTCCAG